GCCACAATGCTATTTCTATTAAGCCTGGTAGCTTTTGTTTGTTATTAAGTATTATACATTTTGGCATAGTGGTGCATACCTGTAATCCCAGCTATCGGGAAGACTAAGGCAGGAGAATTGCAAATTTGAAGGCAACTTAGTGAGACCCTGCCTCAAAATTTTAAAAAAGGTGGGGGAGGGGGAGTTACTGTGGATGTAGATCAGTGGTAGAGCATCTCTAGTTTCAATCTCAAACACGACAATAACAGCGTGTGTGTATGTGTGTGTGTGTGTGTGTGTGTGTGTGTGTGTATGTGTGTGAGAGAGAGAGAGAGACTGAATTTTGTAACTGATCTTATACCCATCAACTTTGCCAAATTGTCTTTTAATTCTAAAAAGACAATTCTTTTCCACTTCTATGGAGCCTGTTTGAGTTTCTTCATAGAAAATTATATTATACAATAAGAAGAGTTTCTTTTCCTTCTCAGACTTGCAGTAAAGGAATAGAGGCCATCAGGGAGGCCTGTGGTTGCTTGGTCCAGTTGCCTGTCACGTGCACTTTCTCCTGGCCTCATTATTCCCTGGTGGGAGGCCCATCACCAGGCATCAGGCAGCTATTCCAGCCTCTAAGTGTATGGGGTGGGGGCTCAGTGTGGCCTGTGGTTTCGGGCACTGAACCTGGCTTACCACCTACCTCCTCACCCTAGGCAGTCAGTCCTCATTCCCTGGCCCCTCAGAAGCCCACGCTGGCATCCTGGGCCACCGTTCAGATTTGAGACCCAGTAACCCCATCTTCTGCTCCACTCATGGCTTTGTGTCTCTAATCCATGGGAAAGCTCATACATGGAGCCAACTGTGCCTTTTAATTTTTCTTGTCATATTTTAATCACTGTTGTTTTGAATGTGACCAGCATTCCCTGTTGAAATTTAATCCCCATTTTGAGGTATCTGGAGGGTGAAAAATCTGACTATAGTATTTAGAGGTGGGGATTGGGGATGTGGTCAGGATTGGTTAAGGTCATCAGGGTGGATCCCTCATTTGAATACTGGTGACTTTATAAGAAGAGGGACAGAGACCAGAGGACATGTACACAACACACACACACACACACACACACACACACACACACACACATGTGTGTACTCTTGGTCTCTTGCCGCATGATGTCCTGTGCCACTTTGGGACTCTGCTAGCAAAAAGATTATCACCACATGCAGGCTCTTGAACCTCTAGAACTGTGAACTACATAAACCTCTTTTCTTAATGAGGTTACCCAGCCTCTGGGATTTTGTCAGGGTAATGTAAAACAGACCAATATGATAACCATTGCTTTGTGTGTAGAGATGAGCATGAGCATCAAAGGCTTAGGTACAAAAATCCTACCTTGACTAGAAATTATGATTCCAACATGTATTTTTTAAAGGGGCACAGAACTAGCTTCTGCCACGGCTGATACTTAACACAGTAGTTATCATCAAATACAATACTATTTTCAAAAAATATTTATGTTTCAATTGTAGTTGGACACATACCTTTTGTTTATTTACTTATTTATTTTTATGTGGTGCTGTGGATGAACCCAGGGCCTCGCACGAGCTAGGTGAGTGCTCTACCGCTGAACCACAACCCCAGCCCTTTCAATACATTTTTAATCATCAAATACAATACAGAATTTTCACAACTTCCTTATGCTTTGTAAACACTATAGTTGTGTTTCTGTTTGTCATCTGGCTAACAGGGAATGGAAATAAACACTATTTTCTGTACCTGAGAAAACCAGTGTCTCTTACTTAGTAGTAATCAGGAATAAGCAGAGAGAGCCATAATTCTGTGAGTTCCTCCAGAGATGGAGCTGGGTGTTGTTGATCCTGTGCTTCATCCAAAATAACCCCAGGGAAAGATTTTGAGCTGAGTAAACCAAACTCCAAAGCCACGCCTGGCTTTATTCAACAGGATGTTCCATGGTCTGAGGGACCCCTAATGAATACCCTCAGGATCTAACGGTGCCATGACTTGAGGGAAAGAAAGGGGAAGAAAGGCAGGAATAAAGGTTGGTTTTAAGCAAGGTGAGTGGGAAGGAATTGTCAATAGCATTTCATCTAGAGTGGATTTTGATTGAGATTTGGATTTTTTTAAATACTTATCTCCTTATATAAACTAGCTTACTATGTAAATATAATCAAAATAACATTCATTAAAATTGCAAAACTTATTTATTAAAATATGTAAAGCAGCCAGCTGCAATACTGGAGACTAAGAAGTGTAAAAATATTTTGTTGAACAAATATTTTTGAGTTCCTACTATGTGCCCACACTGTACGGGAAGTGAGCATACCTGGATAAATAACAGGTTCCTGTGCAGCTAAAACTTCAGGTGGGCCAAAGGATGGGTAAACAAATAATACAAATATGATGGAATAAGCTTCTTTAAAGAGTGTTAAGTTTGTACAACTGTGTTTATTGTAGTTTGGATGCGAGGTGTCCCTCAAAAGATCATGTGTGGGACAATACAAAAAGGTTTAGAGGAGAAATGATTTTAACCCAATCGGTGAATGGATCCCCGATGGGATTAACTGAGTGGGCACTGGAGGCAGGTGGCTGGAGGAAGTGGTTCATTGGGAACATGGATATAGGGTATATATTTTGTATCTGGTGAATGGAGTCTCTCTCTCTGCTTCTGATCATCGTGTGAGTTGCTTCCCTCTGCCACACCCTTCCGCCATGATGTTCCGCCTCACCTTGAGCCCTGCGGAATGGAGCCAGCTGTCTATGAACTGAGACCTCTGAAACCATGAGCCCCCAAATAAACTTTTCCTCCTCTACGATTGTTCTGGTAGGGTCTTTTAAGTCACAGCAGCTAAAAATCTGACTAAGACAGTGCTCATAACAGCCTTATTTACAATAGCCAAGAGGTGGAAGCAACTCAAGTATCCACGGTCAGGAATGGACAGGCCAAGTCTGTTACACATAGGATGTAATACTGCTCAGCTTTAAAAGAAAGAGAAATTCTTGATACAGGCTATAACCTGGACGAACCTTGAAGATATTATGCTGAGTGAAATAAGCCAGTTACAGAAAGACAAACAACTGGCTGCCTCCACTTCTAGGAGGGAGCTCAAGTAATTAAATCCATAGAAACAGAAAGTAGAGATTCTGGGGGTGGAAAGGGAAATGGGAGCGGTTTACTGTGTTGGATGCATGTTCAGTTTCAATTTTACAAGATGGGCGATTTCTGGAGATGTCACAACCATGGGAATTATTCTTAACACTTTAGAACTGTATGCTTAAAAATGGTTAACAAGATACATTTTGTGTATTTTACCACAATCTTACTAAGTAAAAAAAAAAGAAGAAGAAGAAAGAAAGAAAATGATCATTGGGTTCCTGAGGGTTCACTCCTAGCTTCTAGCAGAAGGCCTGATACGTCGTAGGCACTTGACTAATATTTTGCCTTCCTTTGGTGTCTCTCCCTGCCCAGTGTCCTCCACAGCAGGACAAAGGCCACGTAGTTCCGTAGTTCTAGGAGCCAGTTCAGCAAACAAAGGCACTTCTCTCCTCTGGGCACAAAGGGGAAGAATTTCAAATATTTGTGATTTAATATTTGTCTCGATCACACCAACTAGGCTTTGCTTCTCCATTATGCTTATCTGAGCTTTTTGGCATTTAAATTTCCTAAAGATAGATCCTGTTCCTACTTCCCAAAACAGAATAGAATTGTGATGGCCTTTGTAAGAAAAAGGAAAAAGAAAAAAAAAAGTGGAAGGAAATCTGTAAAATGAAATCATTAGGAGGCCAGCGTACAAATGGCTTGTGGGCTCTGGTTGCAGCCCAGCGCAGGAGGAAGGGTGGGGTAATTAGCATGCATTTCACAGTTCTGCAGTTTGTCAGTTGGTTCCTTCCCTTCACGGGCTCTGTCTGAGTCTCTTGGTTTTTTTTTTTTTTTTTTTTTTTTCACTTGGCCAAAAATAGAGAGACAAAAAAAGTTTTCTTGTACTTACTTAGGCTTTTCTACTTTTTTCCCTGGTATGTTTGGTTTCCTCTCGCCATGATCCTTCCTTCTTCCTGCCACCTGCCGGCTTCTCTGCTCCTCCTCCCCTTCTCTGACGTCTTCTGTGGGATGCACACTGTGGAGCCACCACAGCCCGCAGACATCCCAGGAGCCCCATGGGAGGTTCTCGGGGCGCTACTCCTTAGGTTCTGGAACCCTGGCTTGGTGCAGGGTATCCATGGGGGACAGCTGTGTGCAGCGTTTGGCGCTGTAAAGGCAGGGAGCTGGCGAGGGTCTGAGGGACTTGGGTGGGGGGATTCTAATTTTCTGGTCCACACACTGGACAGAGCTTCTCCTTCTGGCTGGGCCTTGGTCTGGGTGTGCACATTGTTAGAAGTCAGAATGAAGCAAAGGTGCCTTACCTTTTCTGCAGGAGAAAATCGTCCGGATGTCTTTCTTCTGCCTTCTCATGCTGGAATGATGGGAGGGTACGCACAGAGCCCACCCAAGACTTTGTCAATTAGGAAACAACCAGTGTCCAGGCGTGGAGATTTGATTATATTACTTTTTAAACATTCCACTTACGTATCTCTCATTATGTGACAGACACTGTTTTAAATATTAACTCAATCCTTTAAATATTAACTTATTTAATCCTTACAACCACTCTATGACTTGGGATCTACTATTGTCTGAATTTTTATGGATGAGGAAACTGAGGCCCGGAAAGGTTAAATGATTTGCTCATGATCACAGAGCTAATCTCTCACAGCCTGGCTCTTGCATCCACTCTTTGAACCTACTACTCTTTGCTACTGGTTTATGTACAGATCCCCAGCATTCCCTTGGAGATTCCATGCCTGATTTTACAAAATCTCTCTCCCCAAGTATCACACTTTCTGCTGGGCGGTGGGCAGTGTGCACATCCCTCTGAAATGTCCACGTGGCTCCTGGGATGTCCGCTGGCTGTCACAGGTTCACAGGCGTCCCTTCTGTAGGAGACCTCAGTATCTGACTTTCTTTCTCTTCCAGAATCAGGGCATAAGGAAGCAATTTCTACCCATACAGACTTTAAGACATAAAATTGCAGCACATCACAAACTCTTCATCCTTGTATGAAGTGCCCTGCCTCCACACAAACAAGGAAACCATCTTGGGATCTGTCACCAATCAGGGTGAGTTTGCAAGGAGTCTTCCTGGCCCTTGGGAACAGGGTCATGAATTTTTTAGATAGTTGGCTGGAGTGGCTCGGAGCTGGAGGACAGACCTTCCGGTGAGTGTAGCAAACTGGTCTGGAGAGAAGCCCGTGACCTTGACCTCCTTACCCTGGGATTCCAGGCGGGGACCTGAACATCTCAGGGTGCTTTCCTAGTCCTCTGACCTTCCTCAGGTCCCTCCCGGTGCTGGTTTCCCTGGTGAGAACTGGGCGAGCAGAGAAGGATTTACAGAAAGGCAGGGTGACTTGTCTTTCTGCTGTGAACCTCTGACTTGTGTTTGGGCCTCACTGTTATACACAGAGAAATGTCTCCAGCTCTTCCATGCCTCCTGCCAGCTTCCTGCTGGTAGTTCCCAAGGCCTTCTCCGCCCCCAGAATGCTTTTCCTAGATCCTCTTCCCACAGGGCCCCAAAGCTAAGCTGCCTGGAAGTAGTGGGAAGTGAATTCCTGCTATAACATCTAAATTCTCTGCACATTGCATTTTTATCTTCCTGGGGACATCAAAACTGAAAAGTTTAAGAGTAGGAGTGGAATGTCAGGTACCCTGCCGTGAGAGGGATGTCGGGGTCTGCTGTCTTAGTACATAATATCAGAGACCAGGTAGTTTATGATCACGATTTTTAGAGGCTGAAAGTCCAAGATCAAGGCACTGGCAGATCTGGTGTCTGATGAGGGCCTCTTTCTGGTTCCTAGAGAGCCATCTTCTCACTGTTTCCTCACATGGTCAAAGGACAAAAGCAGCATTCTGGGTTTTTGCTGTTGGTGGTAGATTTTTTTTTTTTTTTTTTTTGGTACTGGGGATTGAACCTAGCAGTGCTTTTATCACTGAACCACATTCCCAGAACATTTAATTTTTTATTTTGGGACAGGGTCTCACTAAGTTGCTGAAGTTGGCCTCAAACTTGTGCTCTTCCTGTCTCAGCCTCTCGAGTCACTAGGATTACAGGCAGGAGTCACCACACCCAGCTTCTGGGGCTTCTTTCATGAAGATACTAATCCTATTCATGAGGACTCTGGCCTCATGACCTAATCACTTCCCCAAATCCTACTCCTAATGTTATCACTTTAAGTTTTCAACGTATGAATCTGGGGGAATGCATTCTGTCTATAGCAGCTGTGGTCCAGTAGACCTTCCTACGTGTGGATATGCATCTGAACTTGGCCCTGATGTCAGGGCCAGGCCCACAGGTGTCCTCAAGTCCAGAATAAAAACCTTTACTTTAGAGCCACAGTGCTCCCCCTGTCCCCTGCCCCCACCACCGGTTTGTAGGATTCACTAAATCTAGGACCCAGATCCCGGTAGGCATGGGGTCCAGTTTAGGCAACTGGAGTAGAGGCCTTTGTCCAGTCGGGTATTTCCTCTGACATCCCTGGGCTAATGGTCAAGGCTCCAAGGTGGGTCTCTGCCAGGAAAACCTGAACTGAAGAGGAGGAGACTTGGCCTTCGGGGAAGAGGGCCTGTGTCCTGGCAGGCCGGAGGCTGGCTTCTTTTTGCTGCTGATTCTCTGGGTTAGTGCACTTTTGACCCAAGAGGAGGGAAAAAAGGGAACAAACAGTGGAACTGTGACTGTCAGATGTTGCGGCGGGAGGGACTTTTGAACCGGTGGGATGGTGACAGCCATCAGAGGCTGCTGTCTCCCCTGGCCCGTCCCCCTTCCCACCTCCTGCCCTCACCTCTGTCCTCCCTACTCTACTTCTGAACGCCAGCTGCCTGGGCGACACCTTTTGCTTCCCAAGCCTCCTTTGTTGTTTTTCCTTGATCCCTTTCTCAAAAACATTCTCCTCTCTTTCCCTCCGCTCAGTGCCAGACTCCTGGCATCTGACTTGCCGGCTTGCGCAGGCTGCCATCTCTCTCTGGCTCACCACGGTTTTATAATTGCCTCTGGTTAAAGTTTAAATAGATGGGTTTCAGCCCAAGAGAAAAATGTAAACAAGCCCTCTCTGCAGTCTCTCAGAACTGCTGGCCTCCAGTGCTTCTGGATTCTGTGCTAGGGATTCATCCTGCTCCTCCCTAACCCCGGGAGCTGAGACTGGACGCTGGCCTTTCAGAGCCACCAAGGCCTCTCTGAAGCCATCAAGCTATTGAGAGACTTTTAGATGGCCTGGCACTGTTCCTTTTAACTCAATCAAGCCAGCAGGATCCGGTTCCCATTCTAGCCAGGGTATCTGGTGTGATCAGGTGAAGCAGGGCAGCAGTCCTCATGGGCCGGCTTCTAGATAGGAAGGAAGTGACAGGGATTGTCATTTCCCTGCTGGAATTTTTTTCTCTGGGGGAGGATGGGGCTGGATTTGCCGCCCGCCCCGGGGTTTTGGTGGTTGAGATGGTCTCAGGAGTCATTAGAACGGGGCCATGTGGAGCCATCACAGCAGGGAGAGGTAGGCCAGGGTTGAGCTCCTGTGTTCAGGCACAGATTCCCTCCTTTGCTGTGATTGCTCAGAAATAAGCAGGCCTTCCTTTTTTTTTTTTTCTATTTTTTTTTTAATTGTTGGGAGTTTTGATTTGTTTGAGTCTTGATTAAGAATATTGATTTTTCTGGGGCTGGGATTGTGGCTCAGTGGTAGAGCACTTGCCTGGCATGTGTGACGCACTGGGTTTGATTCTCAGCACCGCATATAAATAAATGAATAAAATAAAGGTCTGTCAACAACTAAATAACAACAACAACAAAAGAATATTGATTTTCTATCTTTTTCTGCTTTGTGTACTTTGTGTACTTATGATCTGGTGTCAGATGGATTCAGCAATACCTTGGAATGGTTTAGTCACGAATTTGATTGAATGATTGCCTTCCCCTACTCAAAAACCTTCCATGTGTCCCTGTCTTCAGTTCAGGGTCTTATTCAAAACCTTCTAAGGCCTGGTTCTGTCTTCACCTTGCACCATGCCAGCCCTGATGAACTCAGGTGACCTCTTCCTCCCTACTCCTGTGACCCATTCCCTCACTCCCTACTCCTCTGCCCCACCCCTGCCCTGCTTAGCACCTGCTCAGAACCATCTCCCTGTGTTCTGTGGGGTCTCCTACCCTCCCTCAACAACCAGGGCCAAGCATCCTTCCTTTAGTTCTCCAACAGCCACGCCCAGCCCCTTTCCTGTAACCCTATTTCCTTGTCTGATTTTCAGACTGTTCCATCAGCCTTGCACTTGATGCTTAGCTCTTTGGTTGTAGGGTGATTTTGTTTTTCTATCCCCATCCTCATGTGTGACCCTCTGGTCAGTGCTCAATAAATATTTAATCTTTGTTTTTCAGCCTCTCTGAAAAGATGTCAATATGTTTAAAACAGAGGAACCAAAAGGAGTGAAGAAAGAATTGGGGAGTCATTAGATTTGGGTTCAAACCTAAGTTCTGCTGAGGTTAGTACTAGGACTGCTTCCCGGTCACCATCCTTTCCCACCTTTACTTTGCAGGTAAAATGAACACAATAAGCTGACTTCTATGGGGTTTTGTGCAAATTAAAATGAGATCTTTCAAGTAAAGAACCTAACATAGTTCCATCTCATCCTTATCCTCTCCTGATGTTAAAACAATTTGAATCTTATTAACCAATTTAAAAAGACAGGTGCCACGTTCTCCCATTACTCACACAGCCTTCCTCGTTGGAAGCATTTCTTCTCATTCACACTTGCAAGTTTTTGAAAGGCTATTTTTTGGGGGGTGGCACTGGACTTATTTATTGGTTATTAGAAGTTCTCTCAATGAGGCTGGGGTTATGTCTCAGTGGTAGAGCGCTTGCCTAGCATGCATGAGGCACTGGGTTCAATCCCTGGTACCGCATAAAAATAACCAAATTTAAAAAGGCATTGTGTCCATCTACAACTAAAAAAAAAAAAAAAATTAAAAAAGAAGAAGATGGGCTGGGGTTGTGGCTCACTGGTAGAGTGCTTGCCTTGCAAGTGTGAGGCCCTGGGTTTGATTCTCAGCACCACATAAAAAGTAAATAAATAAAAATAAAGATACTGTGTTCATCTACAACTAAAAAAATTAGAAGAAGAAGAAGGAGAAGGAGAAGGAGAAGGAGAAGGAGAAGGAGAAGGAGAAGAAGAAGAAGAAGAAGAAGAAGTAGTTCTCTCAGTGGTAGGGGTGAAGGTGAGGCAGCTGGTGTTCTTTATTGAGTTAATGTCACATGTCATCCATGGCGTAATGTCACCTCTTCACTGCCAATCTTAACTGGAAAGAGAGTCTTGAAATATCGGTACACGAATGTGCCCAGTCAGAAGGAAGCCTTGATCCTTCCCATTCGGTCCCTTCGTGCAGCCTCCCGCACTGGCTCTGCCATCTTTGACTTCAGTTGTTCAGCCAGCTTCTCCTTGCTCCAATGGCCATGAGAGCTTCCTTCGAAGCAGCATTTTTAGTGTCAGAGAAGTGACACTGGGAGCCCGCTGCTGCTTTTGTTGCCAGGGCTAGAGAACAGCTGGAGCGGTTTGAGCTCTCTGGGGGAGGCTGAGCGAGCCAGGCTGTGTGCGTGTGTGACTTGTGCGTGGTGTTTGTGTGAGTTGAGAGCGCGTGGGTGTGTGTCCTTGTGGATGGGCGGCCAGATGTTTACATGTAGGTGTTGCCACCGAAAACAGAAGTGGAGATTCTGAAAACAAAGTGGCAGCTCAGGACCTCACGGGCAGGAAAGGGGGAGGTTGAAACAGCCCCGACCAAAACAAAAACAGAGGAGGAAGTTGCATCAGAAGAGGAAGAATGCCAATGTCATGCTGAAGAGCCACAAATGTCACAAAATAAAAATAAAATGTGCTATTCCTATTTTACCTAGGCAAATACTGTTACACTGTTTTCCTCTTTACAGTGTGTAATAAGATTACCGAAATAATATTTTGTGCGGCAAAAGTGAAGAACAACCAGAGAGAGCCACCCACAAACAAAAATTGCTCTATTTTTTAAAAAAATTACATACATCATATTTTATTTATTTGGTTCAGTGATTGATTATAACTTTGCTCTCTAGCTGCATTTAAAGTTTCTTTTTCCTCCAGCACTTAAAACTATTAAAAACCAGTTATGAAACTGACTTATTGAAGAACATTTCAAAGGTCTTCTTACTATTAACACAAACTGAGAAATTCTAATAAAGGTGTTCAAATAATAGCAAAGTGACTGAAGATATCAAAGCAAGAAATAGAGATCCCAGGGATGTTATTTACTTTTTTTCATTTCAGTTAAAGTAGAAATGTTAGTCCCTTTACTGAAAACATTAAAAGGATAGTTTTCCTTTTGATTAGGTTCTCATAACTACACACATTTTTAAAAATATATATAGGACTGGTTTTAGATGTAGGGGTTCTATTTAAAAAAAAATTTTTTTTTAGTTGTAGTTGGACACAATATCTTTGTTTTATTTATTTATTTCTATGTGGTGCTGAGGATCAAACCCAGCGCCTCGCACGTGCTAGGTGAGCACTCTACCGCTGAGCCCCAGCCCCAGCCCCAAGATGTGGGGGTTTTATAAAAAGGTGATGTAATTCTGGGATGAACTTTGCATCTGGGGCTCAGCTAAGCTTTTTGGATCTATTTCTTTATAAGTATAGTCAGGGTTATTGGCTTTCTATCACCTTTCTAGAATTGTAATGACATCAAATGATTAACTGAGTTGCCAATTTTGCCAATAGTTAAATGTATATTGAATTTTTGGCAGTGGACTGGGCAAATATGTGCTCTGGCTAAAGTAATTCTCAACTGAATAAAGTTTTAAGCACATACACTAGTTGACCTGCAAATGTAGAAAGAAGCTTAGGTCAATCAGACAAAGACAAGCAGCCAGAAATGAGGAAATGGAACAACCAAGTATGCCTTTTGCTCTGTGTATATACAGTGGGTGCTCCCTAATAATGTGGAGGGCAAGCTGGAGTTGCAGCTCAGTGGTAGAGCGCTTGCCTTGCACACATGAGGCAATGGGTTTGATCCTCAGCACCACATAAAATAAAAAGTAAGTAAAATAAAGATATTGTGTTCATGTTCAATTAAAAAAATTTTTTTTAATAATGTGGAAGGAAGAAATGGATGGAATGTGTGAAGGAATAAGTATAATGAAAGCAGCTTGAATGCCTAATTCAAAATGAGGTTTAGATTTGGCTTCATGATAGGGTTATAGCATATTTTCCTTTGATTTTCAGAAGTTGTGAGACTCTTTAAAAAAGAAAATATCTATAAAATTAGTTGGGGGAAAAATGAAAATACATTCAAAACTAAGTTTTTAATTTTAAAAGTTTATTTATATATATAAACTTTATATATATGGTTATTATATGTAAATTAAACTATATATTTATATATTAATTTATATATATATATATTTTTTTTCAGTGTTACTTTAGGAACAAAAAATTCATTAGGGGACTGAGGATGTAACTCAGTGGTTGACCACTTGCCTAACATGTCCAAGGCCCTGGGTTCAGTCCCCAGCACCACATATCACACACGTGTGCACAGACACACACATCCACAAACTGGGAAAAAATAGGTTTATTCATAAAATTATTAAATGTTTAGGGCTATAATCTATTCAAATAATAAAAATCCACTAATTTGAAATGACCTTTTTCTTCTTAAAACTAATTACTACTGGGGCTACAAGCTACTGTATTTTATGATAACAAATGTCATTTGGCTTTTGCAACTGAGAGGAAACCAGTAAAAAATTGGAGAAGAAATCATAAACATCATAATAAAAACAAACAGAAGCATTAAGTTTATTTTTTCTAGATCTACTACCTTCCATATAGCATTTATTTTTCAGAAAATATATAGAAATAAACATTTATTTTTAGAAAATAATTTAAAGGAGTGGGCAAGGAAGAGGGAGAGAAAGACCAAACCCATAGGCTGCAACATTTTTTCAAACAATATTTTTGTTTAACGAGTCAAAGTTCCCACATTCGCCCGTTTCTCTGCTTTCTGAACTTCCACATCTCTAGGGGCCCTCCACCTGGACATACAGTTGGCTTTCTGGGTCCACAGTCCAGCATCCTTGGATTCAACCAACCATTTCATTTCAACCATTCGAAGTCTTTGATTTCAAAAAAAAAATTGCATCTGTCCTGAACATACACACTGTTTTTCTTGTCATTATTTCCCAAACAATATAGTACAGCACCTATTTATACAGCATTTACATTGCTGAGGTATTTTAAGTAATCTAAGATGGACTTGAAGCATACAGAAAGATTTGCATAGGATATATGCAAATACTATGTCATTTTATATAAGGAACTGGAGCATTCTTAGATTTTGTTATCCCAAGGGGGTCCGGAAACCAATCCCCTATGGGTATGGAGGGAAGACGGTATTTCCTGACTTGGAATTTGCCCAAAATCTAAAACATTGCTCCAGAGGAATTACGCAAACTCCCTGGCCCAGCTTGTGTTCTCTTCTGATGGTGTTCTCAAGGAATGGGCAGGAGGAAAGATAAGGTGTGAACTAGGAGATGTTACGTTCTGTTTAACGTTGTGGATCTGTAGCTCTTTCTGTCAATGAGTTGCAGGTCATTCTTAAATTCTGCTCTTCTGCACTGAAGGATCTTAGCCTCTCTTCCCCTGGAGAGCCAAGGAACTTTGCTCTTTGCCCAAAATACCTTTCTCACCCGAAGCAGTTTCCCCTCCTCTGAGAAATGCTGTCGTGTCAGGCTGCACTGCCCTTGAACCAGACAACTTTCTCTGCGTGTCTTTATCTGTCTAAATAAAGCTAACCTACATTTGCTGTCTAATTCATTTGGATGCTTGCTGATGCTATTTAAAGCATCCCTCAAGGCCCAGAGGAAAACAAGATGCATTATCTCCAGTTGGGAACCTTTAGGTTTGCTGGTCATTTAAGGAATTCAAGAATCTTAAGAATTCATTCAGTCTTCACTGGTGCTGATGCAAAGGACAAAGGAACTCTGGATTTTTATTCTAGACAGCTTTCTTTGACTTTATGCATGCCTGGGATCATTTCACAGAGAGGTAGTTACGAAGTCAGTCTCTCTGTGTGTGTGTCTGTCTGTCTGCATCCTGCTCCTCAGGCTTCATGAAATCAACTTTCTGAAGATTTATTGCTTCTCAGGCTTCATGAAATCAACTTTCTGAAGATTTATTGCTCCTTAGAATATATTTTTCATTCTAGACTCCGATGATCGGTTAGTCCACTGTGTGAGCTTACTTATCTCGGGGAACAAATGAGAAAATTCAAAAGCTGCTGTCACCTTCATAAGGAGCCTTTTGATGAGTTTTTGACTTGTTTCCACCTCTCCCTCTCCAGATACCATATGTCCTTTCATTAGAGAACCCTGACATTTCTACATTCCAGAAAAGAAAAGGAAATTCTACAGGGAACGGAGCAGAACACTGGTGTTGTAAATAGGACTCCACTGTGAATTCATGTACGACTGAGAGTTCAGAGAGGCTTCAGATCTGTTGTTTGTTTTTCCAGATCCGGCATTTCTGTGGGTCTGTTGGCTTGCTGGTACAATGGGGTTGTTTTAACCATTAGTGCCCCGCTTCTACCTTAAGCACAAGCTTATTATCAGCATCCACTTGTTCAGCCAGGATTCTGTGACGTCCATTGCAGTGGGTGAGTCAGAAGCCACAAGCTAACAGGTCTATTCCTTCCCACTGTCACCTAGGAAACCATCGCATCATCCACAGGAAATGCAGGCCCCGATGGGGGTGTGCCCGGATCGGGTTATAAAGCTGGCAAAGAGTTTTTCAAAGGAGGTCAAATAATAACATGCAGAATCTTGGTCTAAGGTGGGAGGTGAACCCAGCCTCTGAGGCATGGATTGAGAGCTGTGGGGCAGAAATAGCAGGAGAAATTAATCAGCGCAAAGCACATAAGATGTCTGCTTTATAAGAAAGTGATCACGGGCAAGAGACATACAGACATGATTTGATTCCCCCAGGAAGCAGTATTTATTTACCCGATGGCTGAGGGTATTTGGGGAAGGTGCGGTTGTACAGTGTGCAAAATGAGATGAAGAAATTGACAACACATCAAACCAGGCTTTTCTGTTGAATGAAATGCATGTCTCTGTTTCATGGTCATTATCCCTTAGCTTAAGAAGGTGCTAGGCAGTACCTTGGAGAAAAGCACATAGCGCCCACTGTTTTGTTCTTGTTTGCTGGTGCTGTGCCTGATTTTTTTTCTTTCTTTGGCTGCTACAGTCCTTGATCTGTATATCCCAGTTCACTGCACAGTATTCAGATACCTGTGGATAAGCTTAGTGCAGCTGAGAAAAATTACCTGTACCATTTCATGTTGTTCCAAGCTTGATGGGAAGCTTTACATTCCCATTGCTGCTATGAGTCATTCTACGTCAAAAGATGTGTACCCCCAGGTGTTTTGAGGAGAGAGGAGAGGTAGAAAGCTTGATCACAAACTCAGGGAGATTTAACAGGTGATATGGCCGCCTTAAGAGATTAGGCTGCTTTGACTGAAGGATGGTGTCTAAGAGAGGCAATGGGTTCCAATACCAGCTGGTCAGGTGCATGTCAAGAGTACGTCCATCCTGAGTACCCATTGAAGGAAGAGCAATGGCAAACCTGAGTGTGTTCAGAGGAGGGCAAAGATTGTGATGACAGTTCTAGAAACTGTAACCTTAGGACAATTAAAGAGCATTAGTCTACTTACCCTGAAGGCCAGAGGATCTGTCATGGAAGAGATGGGAATGGGTATCCTCAAACAGTTGAAGTGCTGTCTCAAAGAGGGTTCAGACTGATTTCGTGTGCCCACAAAGAGTGATCATAAATTGTTACAAGTTAAAGGGTGGTGGAGTTTAGCTCCATATAACTAATTTTCTAATCATTTAAGCTGATCAAAGTGTATTAAACTGACTAATACAACAGTGAAATAATTTTGTACCTTTGGAGTTGTTCCAATATTCCCTTATTCATCCAAAAGCATTCATTGAGTACCTGCCATATGCCAGACATGTTAGGTACTGAAGATACAAAGATGACTAACATAGTCACTTCCTCCAAAGGAATTGCAGTCCAGTAGAGGTTCTGTGATCATTTATATGCAGGGATTGTATTTTAGTACATTTTATGTTACTATAACAAAGTACCCAATGCTGGGTAAAGGAAAGAGGTTTAAATACCCTCACAGTTCTGGAGGTCCCAGAGGACAGTACAGTCTCTGCTTGCCTCTGGCAATCGTATTACATCCCAACATGGCAGATGGCATCATGGTGGAAGTGTGAATGAGAGAGAGAGAGAACACATGGCCAGACAGGAAGCAAGAGACAGAGAGTTGAGACAGTCAAACTTGCTTTATAAAAACCCATTCTCAGAAGAACTCATCCATTCCACGAGACCAGCGTTGTTATTCTGTTTAGTACCCTACGTCCTCATTATCTTCTAATAGGTCCCACCTTTTAAAGGTTCTACCACCTCAACAGGAAAATTCACATAATATTCAAAGCATGTCAGACAGGATGAGCAGTAATGTAGAATGTTGTGGAAGAGATTCATGCTTTCATGCCTTGCACAGAAGATTAGATGAAGGCACTTTGAGATTGCTGTCTGTGTTAATGAAGGCAATACTGGCTGCTGTGACAATCAACCCCACAATGTCTTGTGGCTCATGAAACATGATAGGAAGCTTTTGTCCTCACCATACACACCCAAAATGGTTATTTCTGATGGTGGGTGTCTTGCTTCTAAATGGTAATTCAAAAACCCAGTTCCTTCCAATTGGTGATTCTGTCATCTTCAACTTGCAGCTTACGGGGGAAATTCTAGGCATTGGCATTTTGTTGATAGATGGGAGAGAACATGGAGGATCTGGGGGGTTTGGTTATGAGTTGGACCTAGAAATAATGCTCAGATACTCTCCTCCCATTCTATCCAATGGAATTTAGCTGCATGTCCACACCTAACCAGGAGGCAGGCGTGAAAGGCAATCTGGCACGTGTAGCTCAGTGGCAGGACACTTGACCAGCAGGTGCAAGGTCCTGGGTTCAATCTCCAGCATTGGGGGGAAAAAACACAAACCCCTCAACTGGTCGAGCTATTTTGCCAAAAAAGAGCAGAAACTGGTTTCAATGTCTGGTGGCAGAACCAAGATAAGGAATTTGGGTTGGGTGGCTGAAGAGATGGGCAGGGTGCTCCATTTATTTATTTTAATATTTTATTTTTATTTATTTATTTTCTTTTTTGACTAATAAAATATGTATTTATGGCATACAACATGCTTTGATATATACATGCACTGGGAAATGGTTAAATCATGTTAATCGACGTATTCATTGCCTCACATAGTTATTTTAAAAACCATTTTTGTGGTAGATGGACAGAATGTTTTTATTTTATTTATTTGTATGCGGTGCTAAGGATCAAACCCAGAGCCTCACACATGCTAGGTAAGTGCCCTGCCACTGAGCTATAGGCCCAGCCCAGTTATCATTTTTTTGTTGTGAGACAAAAGTTTTAAAAAAAATTTCTTGTTTAAGGCCAGTATCATCATGTCCCATGTTTACAGTAAATGTCTTCCTATTGAAGGTCTCTACTCAGATGTATTATTATTACTTATGGTTGTTGTTGTCCAGCGGTGCTAGGAATCAAACTCAGGGTCTTGCACTTATGAGGCAAGTGTTCTACCACTGAGCTATACCCCAACCCTCAAGGTATAATGTTAGCTCAAAAAAAAAAAAAAAAAAAAAGCAAGGTAGAGCATGAAGCAGAGTATGCTACTTTGTGTATGAAAATGAAAGCAATAATACTATTTGCATTTGTTTTCACATATGATGGAACACTGGAAAAGTGAAAGAAACCACAGAGACCCGGATAAAGGCAGAGGGAGGATGGAGACATCAGTGGGAATGAAAGTTTATGTATTCCTTTAAATACTCATTTATTACTTATTTATAAAAATATATAATTTTAAAAAACCAATTTTATTCTATTGCAGGAGAATGTTTCACTGACTGACCTCCTTTGCGTTCAAATGAAGAAAAGTCAACAATAAAATTTCTTGGGAATGTAAGCAGGACATAACTTTTGAGCCTGAGGTATAAATAATGATGAATTCTGTGTCTTTCTTGTTATACTATACCGGATGAATTAGAGTTTTTGAAATAAAATAAAAGAATATTAATGCAACAGCTTGGTTTTATGTGAAATCATCTAAAAGTCTAGAATGCTTTCATATTCAACATTCTTTGTTTATTTTCATAACATTCCTGAGTTAGTCAGTTTTCTGTTACTATAATAAAATACTTGAGATAATTAATTTATGAAGAGAAAGGGTTTATTTGGACTCACAGTTTTGGAGATTCCAGTCCATGATTGGCTAGCCCTTTGTCTTTGGGTCTCTGGAAGCGCTGCATAACATGGTGGAGAAGGAGCTGGGGTCCCACAGTTTCCTTTGAGGGTCCACCTCCAATAATCTAAGAACCTCTCAGTAGGCCCTACCTCTCAGAGATTCTACCACTTCCAGATGATTTCACTCTGGGGACCAAGCCTTTAATACATAGATTTTTATTTTTTGCTACATTATAGCAATTTATAATAACTATTAATGTTCAAATTAATATCTTGTTTTTGTAGGATTCTGTCAGAACCAAGAGTAGGAGTTCAATTGTCTACAAATTCATGTTAGAATTATAGGCCAATGCTTTTTAATTTTGAGTAGACTGATCATTGGAAGTATGTGATAAATATCTTTTATGTTTCACAACATTTTGAACCCAGGGGCATTCAACCAATGAGCTACATCCTCAACCCTTTTTATTTTTTTTATTTTGAGACAAGGTCTCTCTAGGTTACTTAGGACCTTGCTAAGTTGCTGAGGCTGGCTTTGAACTTGCAATCCTTCTGCCTCAGCTTCCTGAGCTGCTGGCAATATAGGCATGTGACCCCACACCCTACAGCCAGGTGAATTAATTGCAACTGGTATGACCTCAAATTTAGAGAAGCAAAAACAATGGTGGCCACTATTGATAAAGTAAAAAACCTTATGAAGCTTGCAGCTGTGGCTCAGTGGTGGAGCGCTCGCTTAGCACGTGTGAGGCCCTGGGTTCTATCTTCAGGACCACATGGAAAGGTAAGTAAATAAAATACAAAACAGAGTCGGTGGATGGAGAAGGGCCAGAGTCCCTATTTCACACATCAGAGAGAGGTGGCCTTTTTTATAAAAAAAAAAAGGCTGGGGATATGGCTCAGTGGTTGAATGACCCTGAGTTCAATTTCTAGTACCCAAAAGGGGGAAAAAAATACACACACACACACACACACACACACACACACACATACACATACATATCAGGGCTGAAGTTGTGGCTTAGCGGTAGAGCACTTGCCTAACACATGTGAGGCACTGGGTTCGATCCTCAGCACCACATAAAAATAAATAAACAAAATAAAGTTATTAAAAAAAATAATGAAAAGATGGGGGAAGCAGAACTCTCAATATGTAAAGCACTATTACAACTCACAGTTGCCATTTTTTTTTTAGTTGTAGATGGACACAATACCTTTATTTTATTTATTTATTTTTACGTGGTGCTAGGGTTGAACCCAGTGCCTCACACATGCTAGGCCAGTGCTCTACCACTGAGTTATACCGCCAGCCTGACCAATTTTCTTTTTTTTTTTTTTTTTTTTTTTTTGGTGGTGCTGGGGATTGAACCCAGGGCCTGTGCATGCAAGGCAAGCACTCTGCCAACTGAACTATATTCCCAGCCCCTGGCCAATTTTTTAATAGAAATGTTTTCAATAAAAAAATGGCAACAGACATAAATGAAATTTATAGGAAAAGATCTAAGTAACAATTTATAAACTTTAGAATTATTTGTTTCTTCTAAAAAATGAAGAGATATAAAATAAAAATGGTACCTAGTAGACTATAAAAAACAGTAACTGGTATCAACAATTGGTGGCAATAGGAATATTGGTATTTTTTCTGGTAGAAATATTAGTTACCAAAACCTTTCCACAGGTAAATTTGAGAACATAGTAAAATGTTAAACATGTTTACATACTATAACCTGTAACTTCACTCTACTAATTTATCCTAATAAAATATTCAGAGGGGGGCTGGGGTTGTGGCTTAGGGGTAGAGTGCTCGCCTACCACATGTGGGGCCCTAGGTTCGATCCTCAGAACCACATAAAAATAAACAAATAAAATAAAAGTTAAAAGGAAAAAGAATCCTTAAAATACAAGGAAAAAAATATTCAGAGGAACATAACAATTTATGACAAATGATATTAATACCAGCATCCTTATGAGATAAGCAGAAGATGGATCAGGTGACATACGGAAATGGGATACAGAGTCACCATTAAGAATTTATGTTAGCTGGGCACAGTGGGGGCACGCCTGTAATCCCAGCAGCTTGGGAGGCATGAGACAGGAGGACTGTGAGTTCAAAGCCAGCCTCAGCAATTTAGTGAGGCCCTAAGCAACACAGTGAGACCCTGTCTCTAAATAAAATACAAAAAAGGGCTGGGGATGTGATTCAGTGTTTAAAAGCCTCCGAGTTCAATCCCTGGTACAAAACAAAACAAAATTAAAAAAAAAAAAAACTTATGTTACAGAACCAGCTAAAAGCTAAAGGAAAAATCTGACTACCCAATGTTCAGTGAAAAGGCATGATTTTTAAAAAATACAGTGAATTCTGTTAGTGCATAAACTAAGACACATTGGTCCTTCAGAGCTTTAAAACTAGGCAGGGTTCTCTCCTTCTTGCTGATATCCATTCTCCTGGGCTACTTTATTCAAACTAGACTAGTTCATACAGACGTTGAAAATCGGAAAAAGCAGCACTTGGTGAGTTTTGCCAAATGTCAAAGAATTCCGCCGGGTGCAGTGGTGCTCGCCTACAATCCCAACAGTTTGGGAGGCTGAGGCAGGAGGATAGCAGGTTCAGAGCCAGCCTGGGTAACCTAGTGAGACCCTGTCTCAATATAAAAAGTAAAAAGGAATGGGGGCGTAGCTCAGAGGTAAAGTGCTTACTTAATGCATGTGAGGCCTGGGTTCAACCTCCAGCACTACAAAAGGAGAAAGCAAAACAAAACAAAAAAACTCCTTAGCAACTCCAATGAGGGAATTTAATTTTGTGTAGAGGGAATTTAATTTTGTGTAATCTAACAGGTCTTTTTTTGTTGCTGTTGTTCTTTTTAGTTATAGACGACAGTAGAATCTATTTTGATACGTTTATATACGCGGAATATATTTTATTCTATTTAGGATCCCAGTCTTGTCGATGTACACAATGTTGAGATTCACTGTGCTGTATTCATAAATGTACATAGAAAAGTTATGTCAGATTCATTTCACTGTTTTTTCCTATTCCTATCTGTGGCCTTCCCTTCATTCCCCTTTGTCTAATCCACTGAACTTCTATCATCCCCCACCCTTATTGGGAGTTAACATCCACATATCAGAGTAAACATTTGACCTTTGGTTTTTTGGAATTGGCTTATTTCACTTAGCATGATTGTCTCCAGTTACATTCATTTACCAGCAAATGTCATAAAAGTCATTCTTCTTTATGGCTGAGTAATAGTCCATTGTGTACATGTACCATAATTTCTTTATCCAATCATCTGTCGATGGTCATCTGGGTTGGTTTCATAGCTTAGCTATTGTGGAACCATCCCTGGCATTCAGCAAAGATTTCAGAATGAGTATTTACAGTATACCTGGATTTTAAATGCTTGCATATAATTTTAGCCCTTATCTGAATAATTATTTGGATCATAGGCATTCAATGTTGTTGACAATTCTCTAATCACACATCCAAACTAGTTTCTATATCTTGGATGACGTTTCCTCATCTCTTGCAAACTGATGTTCAATGTTGCAAGACCTAGACAAAGTTTTTCACATATTTTGAGACTCTCTTTGATTTTCAGGATCACTCCTGTGGGTTGGGGGTGTAGCTCCGTGGTAGAGCACTTGCCTAGCATGTAAGAGGCACTAACATTGCAAAGAACACAGAAAGAATAACTCCTGCTTATTTGACCCACGTGTAGCCTCAGGGTACACATTCTTGCCACATTCATGTTGATCTCTTTATTATCATCATAATCATAAGCCTCTTCCTGATAGCATACTCAACATTCTCATTGCTTTTGCAATAATCAGGCCTATTGGGCTTTATTAATGTTATGAAACACCTAGCACTGAGTACAGAAAACCTGCTGGTAGCAGAAAACTAGTTAACGGAGACTAAAACCACCTTAACCAACCACTGTTGCCATGGGTTGGGAGCAGGTGAAGAGGAACTACTTCTGCTTTTAGAGCTAAGTATTTCTCATCTCCACAAAAGTTCACACGTTGACAAGCTGCCAAAGAACCTGTGCCTTTCCCAGGCATGGTACCACTCTAGTGAAGTGCACTGGAGACAATAACCATCAAATTACATAGAAATAGGTAATCAACCAAAATAATTTTTAGATAGCTGATTTGATTCACATTGACTGAATTAGACTGAGACCATGGGTTTGATTTTTGGGGGGGTTATTTAGCACATGGAGAAAACCCGGGTATTCTCTACCTATATCTTGCCATCTTGCAAATACATGCTCTCCAGAAGGCCTATCTACATTCTTTCTTTTTTTTTTTCTTTTTCTTATTTGGAGCCTGGATTGTAACTAGGGTCGCTTAACCATAAAACCACATCCCCAGCCCTTTCTTGTATTTTATTTAGAGACAAGGTCTCACTGAGGTGCTTAGGCCCTCACTGTGGCTGAGGTTTTGAACTGTAATCCTCCTGCCTCAGCCTCCTGAGCTTCTGGGATTACAGATGTGTGCCAGCACCTTGTCTGGTCATATCTTTTCCATGTGGTCCTTATAGGGCAATGCTGTCACTAGCCTTGATAACAGTATGCAACCTGGCATCTCCAAATTCAGAATCTCAATTAGCCATTAACTAGAGAGAAGATACCTCCGTTGTATGTTTAAAAAATTTTAAGGTATATTTCTAATCATAGGTTGGATCAAATGGAAAATACTAATGAAACGGAAAATACTAATGAAAATCAAGAGGCTCACTTTCCTTGTT